TAAAAGCTATAAAATTGAACCCTTACAAAATTTAAGAAATTGTGGCTCAAATCCTACAAACGTCAGACTGATCAACCAACTATTTTGAGTCGACCGTCTGCTTGTTGTGTTTCACTAACGACCTGAAGTGTTGCCTCTTTTTCACCATACCAAGATAGTCGGCCCTTAGATGCTTCAATAGACTGTCAGTTCGAGTAATCACCTCATTTGTCATTTTGAAGAGAATGTTTGTGGTGTAGTTCGCTAGCACTCAGAAGCTGCATAAGAGTTTGTAGATCATATTGTAGATCAAGCAAAGACAAAATGAAAGCCTCTACTCATTTGTCACAGGATTCTAGAAGGAAATGTTGCAAGTGTAGGATCTAAAGCTTGCAATACACTACCTTAGCTCGAGGGCTGAAGGAGGGACCATTCTACTACGCTTTGGATCTCTAGCAACCAATGACCATAAGTTGAATTGTAGGAGCTAGTCAACAATTATATTTTGGCTGAAGAATGCAACTCCACCCCTGAATTAACTGGGGCAAAGCAACCACCGATCGTTTGAAGAGGAGGGCCCCAAGAGATGATAGATGGAGGCCAATGGAAGCCTGACATCCTTCTGCACAGCCATAGTACAAAGACAACCGGCCACCCTGAAAAAACATGAAGCGAACAAGAATAACAAAAGAACATGTCAGAAGAGGTGCACTAAACAATAGTTGGCATGTTACTATAAGTGGATGTTGAATGACCAAGAAGCGTCAAAGGCCACTTCGCTAAGAGTTTAAATGGCGATGTTTGTAAAGGTCGTCCAAAACAAAGAATACTTCAAACGTGCAACACCAATGAGAGCCAGAGCTTTTCTTCGGGATATGAAGAAATGATGTGTCTATCATAGAAACCATAGTCATGATACGGAGGAATGCAGACACCTCTAGAGCCTGGTCAAGGAGTTAATAAGAGCTAAAAGCTCAAGGAGTTCATGGAGCCTAGAGCTCTGACCCAGAGACATAGGAAGGCTCCAGTAGAGGAAATTACAGATGAGTTAGTTCAGGTAAATGCCATCCATATCATTAGGATAGTGCCAGCCATTTTGGGGGAGTTGGAGAATCCTTTCGTCAAGCCAGTTAGAAGAGAATTAGATCAGGAGAACTTTGCATAGCTTCTTTCTCTCCAAAGCATAGCTCTCATCCACCATCACATTCACTGATGCGGACGTATCCCCAAGGGGGAACCCATATAGTGATGTCATTATCATAAAGTAGATGATTAACGATTGTGAAATAGACAGTATTATGGTTGACACTGATAGCTTTTTAAATATTTTGTTTAAGTTAATGTTTGATAAAATGAACCTTCAAGCCAACCGATTGGTAGCACCGACCGACCCACTTTACGGTTTCTCTAGAAAGAGAAAGGTGGTCGTAGGAGTAATCACACTACTGGTTACTTGGGGAGATGATGAGAAGAAATTCTCATACATGGAAGACTTATTGTTGGTGGAATCGCCACTAGCTTACAATGCGATCTTCTGTCACTCTTTTCTGAATGATTATAAGGTTGTAGTCTCTACATACCACATTGCAGTAAATTTTCCTAGCACTACATATGATCATTACCATTTGAGGAAACTTGGAATTATACTGAACCTACTACCTTGAGGCATTTGAGAGCGTGGAGTAGGAGCCACTCAACCTTCAGAACATACATCAAGAGGGTCTTAAGACCAGTGACACCACCATCAAAGTACTTAGTACCGATCAAGAGATTAGATTTTTTTTCTAATAAGTAAAAATTTTTATTTAGGGACTAAAGACACACTGGTCCAAACCATCAAGGAGCTTAAGAATGTCTTAGCTTGGTTGGCAACAAAGATTTCAGGGATCCCGCTCCTTGTCGCTTGTAATTGGCTAAACATGAATCTAGTTGCTCTACCAATGAAGTAGAAGATCAGTTCCTCGGTGATGACTCTAATGAAACCCATTTGGGAGGTGGTTTAGAAGCTGAAGGAGGTAGGCTACATCTAGTAAGTGCAATACTCGACATGGGTCTCCAATATAGTTTGGATGTTGAAGGTAAATGATAAGTGGAGAATGTGTGTGGACTTCACCAACTAGAATGTTTCCTACCCAAAAGATAGATATCCATTACCAAGGATCAAAGAATTCATGGAATTAGCAGTCGTTCACACTGTAATAAGCTTCCTAGATACTTTTTTCAACCATCACCATATAATGATGCACTCGACTAATACAGATAAGATAGCCTTTATCACTATTGAGGGTTTGTACTATTATAATATAATATCCTTTAGGTTAACTATGTTGGGGCTACCTACCATCATCTTATTGACATAATTTTCTCTAAGAAAAAAAGAAAAACTAGTGAGGTTTTGTACTATTATAATGTAATATCTTTTGGGCTTAAAAATGTTGGGGCTACCTATCAGCATCTTATTGATGTAATTTTCTTTAAGAAAAAAGAAAAAAATTTTGAAGTTTATGTGGATGATGTGTTGGTTAAAATTCAATCAGCCAAACAACACATAAGAAGACTTTAAAAAATATTTGAAACCCTCCAAATATTTAACTTGAGACTAAATCCACTAAAATGTACCTTCAGAGATTTAAATTGTCAAGTTTCTCAGCTACCTCTTAATCCTAGAGAGAAAAAAGCCAACTCAGAAAATGTACAGACATTGTTAAAGATGCCATCTCCCTGAGGCACAGAAGAAGTCCAAAAGTTAACTGATTGCATAACATGCTTAATTCAGTTCCTTTTAGAGTTGTGCGACAAATGCACAACATTTTTCAAAACACTCGGGAAGGTGAAGAACTTTGAATAATGGCATGAATTTGAGAAGGCATTCATGAAGTTGAAAGACTCCTTGGTATCATTGCCAATACTTCAAAATTTGAAAGTGAAATGAAGAACACTCTTTATACATGGGAGTTGGATCCATGACAATCAACTAAATGCTAGTTTGAGAGGATTTAGGAAAATAGTTCTCAATCTACTACAACAGTCAAGTTCTCAGGGTCGCTAAACATAGATATCCAATCATAGAGAAACTAACATTTATTTTTTATCATTTCTGCTTACACGCTTCGATCATACTTACAAACTCATCTCATCTGGGTCATCACTGAGCATCTACTGAAGTTTATTATCACTTGGTTGGAGCATTCTAATTGACTCCTCATTTTGGAAGTGGAACTAAATGAGTTCAATATCTTCTATATCCCTAAAACAAATATAAAAGTGCAAGCATTGATAAGCTTCTGGCAGGCTTCTTTGAGTCCTGCGAGCCGAGTGAAGGAGCCGCGACTAACAACCAAAAATGGGTCTTGTACATTAATGGAGCCTCAAACCAGATGGGGATCAAAATCAAACTTGCTCTTAGCAGTTTGACTAGAGAACATCTTTGCTACTTAGTTGTCATTAATTTTGAAGTTACCAATAATCAGGTGGAGTACAAAGCCATGATCGCAGACCCACATCTAACCTATGTGATGGTTGCCTAATATCTCTACATAAAATCAAACTCTCAATTAGTAGTAAATCAAGCAAACAGAGAATTCAAGGTTAGAGATGTTATGATGGCCAAAAACATCAACAAAGCCAAAATAGAGATCTTATAGTTTGTCAATTTTAGAATTGAATATATCACAAGAGAAGATAATCAGGGAGCTGATCTCCTATCCAAGTGCATTCGCATTGCAGAGGGAATGCCTCAAAGGCTATTGTAACTAAAAATTGAAGAAATTAAGCTGATGGAGGTGGAGAATGAAGGGATGAGCAGCTGAATGGATCCTTGCATCCACTTTCTGGAGACAGGTTAAATTGCTAAAGAAATAATTAACCTTAGAAGGTTTAAGTGCAAGGCAACCCAATATCTTTTAATCAAGTGGAATCTCTTTTGAAAGTTAATAACTTAACTTCACTTGAGGTGTATTAGTGAGAGTGAAATAGAAGGCATCCTCCGGAGGTACACTCTGGAGAGTGAAGGAGTCATTTTTTTAGGAAAGATCATAGCATAAAAAATTCAAGGAAGAAGACACTTTTAGACAATGCTTTGGAAATATGAGGAATAATTCTTAAAGAGGTGCAAAGAATGCTAGAAGTATGCACCATTACAACACCAACCAACCCACAAATTGCATTCGACCATCAAGCATTAGCCTTCACCATCTGGGGACTCTATATTCTTGGGTCATTCTCATAGTTAAAGGGCCAGCACAAACTTTTTTGGGTCACCATGGATTGCTTCCTAAAGTGGATCAAAGTGAAGGCAGTCACCCGAATAACAGTGGAGGCCCTCTTGAACTTCATCACGGTAGGCCTCATCTATCTATATTGGTTTTTGCTCGTTCTCATTCTTGAAAAAGGGACTCAATTTACATACTAAGCAGTGAAATAATTTTGTCAAAATTGGGGGATGAACCTAAAATTTACACCAGCTCATCATCATTAGGCTAATGAGCAACCAGAACCCTTCAATAAGATAATCATTAATTTGCTAAGGAAAAAGATAGAATGAACAAAAGGAAATTGGGGAAAGTCCTCCTTTCGGTCCTCTGAGTGACCCAAGTGATGCCATCAATTAGTAAAATCCATTCATGTTGTACTATTAAATGGTGGCAATGCTGTCAGTTGAATACAATCATATAGCCATCGGGTAGTGATGGCTTCAACTTTTGATGAGGAGAATCAAGAAGACTGATAGGAAGCTGATTGTGAAGAGGCAATTCTTGTGTTTGATCTCACAAAAGAAATACAGATGGATTCAGCTCATCGATAGAAAAAATGCAAGAGACTCACCACTCACTATTACAATAAACATGTTTTAGAGTAGACTTTTGCACATGAGTACCTTGTTCTTAAGAAGGTCGATCCCATTGCTCATGGACATTTAGTCAGC